CTGCCCAGGTATGGGGCAAAGGACCCAGGCACCCAGGCAGAGCCCCCGCACGCATCTGGGTGTGGATGTGCCTGCTTGGGCCCATGAGTGCCCAGGAGCATGCCAAGGTGCTTGCCTGCCTAGCCCTGCTGCGAGCACTCAAGCATGTGCAGTTGCAGACGAGCACATTCTCTATGTGCACGAGCAGATGTGCCTCACATGCCTGTCAATGCTTCCAGTGCAGGACATGCAGGTCCACACAGATGAAGCCGTCACACTGCTCTGCGATGTACCCTTTGCCATCCCCCCCAACCTGCCCGTTACCTGGATGTTTGCCAAGGATGTGAGTTGCCCATGCATGTACACAGACATTCCTGAGGGGACTGGGCATGCACACGGTTGTTCTCTTGGTGTGAGGAGTAGCAATAGCTACAGGTATTGCTTAACAGTAGATAGGTGTGCTGCTATAAGTAGCATGTGTGTAAGCATGCACAGGACGCAAGCAAATGCTCACCCACGTGAAGGGTGCATGCAAGCGAGAGGGAGGTCACTCACGTTTGCATATTCACATAAACTCGTGTGCCCACGTATGTGAAGGAAGTGACTTTTTATAGGATCATAAAATCCCAGGTTGGTTTGGGTTGGAAGGGACCTTAAAGCTCCTCCAGCCCCAGCCCCTGCCACTGCCATGGGCACGGACACCTTCCACTGGAGCATCTTGCTCCAAGCCCTCGTGTCCAGCGTGGCCTTGAACACTGCCAGGGATGGGGCAGCCACAGCTTCTCTGGGCACCCTGTGCCAGCGCCTCAGCACCCTCACAGGGAAGAGCTTCTGAGTGCCTTTTCATGCACGTTTATGCCATTTCATGTACCTGGTGGACCAGGCTGTGCTGACATGTTCCCCCATGCCTCAGCTGCACACACAGGATCTGGCACTGTTTGAGGAGCTGGAGGTGGCTGTGGAGGGACTTTACATGCTGACCATCCAGGACCCCGCTCCAGGAACCATCGCCTGTCACCTGGGAGTCCCTTCTGAGCCCTTGGCCCGCAAGTACTTCTACCTCAACGGTGCGCCCAGACACCTGAGTGCCCTGGGGACAGTGAGCGGTGTGGGGTGGAGTGGGGCCCCGGAGAGCCCAATCCCATGGGGGGGGAGTGCGTGGGGAGCATGAGCAGGGTGGATCCATGGTGGAGTGGGTGTTCCCTGATGCCTGGCTCCTCTGGGGGCAGTGGGACACGTGGGGTGGAGTGGACACCCCTGATGCCTGGGTCTGTGGGGGGCAGTGAGGTCTGTGGCTGCGGGGACACGTGGGCCCTGGGGGGTAGTGCCCCATGACCCAAGGTACGTGGGTCCCTGCAGTATCAGGGGGAAGCGTGGAGGCAGAGGAGGGACTCCAGGCTCAGTTCAGAGCTGTGCTGCACTGGCCCCACGGCAGGACCTCTGGGAGCCACATGGCGTTCCTGGGACTGGGGCTAGCACTTGGTTCCACGGTGCTTGTGCTGCTGCTGGTGCGACTCCTCCTGACTCGGTAAACCTTACCCTCCAAATACCCCTGCTTTTGAGGCTGTTCACGGACCACCGTGGGACTCCCAAACCCTGTGGGACCCTCAGTCCCTTGGAATTCCCTACCAATCGGAGGGGACGGACACGACACACAACACCTGGGTGTCCAAGGGGGACCATAGCCTGCCAGGACTCCTGAACTCACAGGTCCCCCTGTTTCCCCCAGGACTCCCATTGTCTTCTGGCCCATGCCAGGACCACTCCTTTGCCCCAGCACCAGGCTGCCTTGCTTCCCCCCGATTTCCTAATTGCCCCTGAGACCTTGCCACTTTCCCCCATTTTCCCTATAACCTCCAATGGTCCTTTGGGAGCCCCAGTTACAGTCAGCTGACCCAGTTGCCTGCCCCCATACCCATACCTTCACCCTTCACTCCCAGGATCCCCCACTTTCCCCTTGCCCCCCCCCCCAGATGCTCCCTGATACTCTTCCCGCCCCAGATGGGAATATTCTCCCCCTTCCTTTCTCCATTCCTCCTTCTGCCTTCCAGGGGTGCCCATCGATGCTGGAGCCCCCCCGACGTCAGTGACCACCAGACATCCCACAGACCTGGACAACAGGGTCCCCCAGGGGCTTCTGGATACCTGGATTCACCCTAGGGGAGCTTGACACATGGATCCCCCCCGAGGACCAAACTCTGCTCTTGCTCTTCTTGCACTGGGGCTGGCATGTGCAAATTGGAACAGTCTAAGCCCAGAAACTCAGAGTCCTAAAACTCCGGATTATGTTGGAGATAAGAAATGAAGCTGCTCCTCTCACAGGGGAGAGGAAGCTGTGACTTGTGCAGTTGCAGTCCTCCCCCAGGAAGGTTTTTCCTTTCTCTGTGACTTTCCCCACCTGGAGTTGATTTAATCACTTCTGCCTGTCCCAAGGACTTGTAGCAGTGGTGGGATGCTGTTTGTCTGCAGGACACTGTCCTCAAGGAAGCCGTGCCGTTTGAGTGTCTTCTATGCAGGCCAAGTCAGAGCCCCACAGGATCAGGGCTTTTCGGGAACAAATGGATTAACAGAGGATTAATAGACTGCCCCTATGTCAGGTGGTGCGGTTCAACCTGCCTGGGCTTGGGAAGCATCGCTGCCATCGGCGCACAGAGCCTGGGCAGGGTGTGGGTGCCCAAGAGCCAGCAGTTTCAGGCTTCCTTCCCTCCCTCCTCCTGCACAGCCCGCTCTCAGGCCCCCAGTGGCAGGCATTTTGTCCCCCCCCGTGTCTGAAGAGGTCTTTCACAAGTGTCCCCATGTCCCGTCAGCTCCCCGCTGCCGTTCTGACCAGCAAGGGTCGAAGAAAAGGCTCAGGAACCTGAGCAGAGCTTTGGCAGAGCCAAGCTACCCAACCGAAAAGCTGCCCCCCATAGCTTCCCTCTGCCCAGGCACGCTTCCTGCCTAGGCTTTCATTGTCCCCGGGGCACTGCTCCATGCACCTCTGACACAGCTGGCCTCCAGGTCCAGGGCCCTGGCTCTACAGGACCCCGGGTGCTGCCCTGGCAGCTCTGTTGCCCTGGGCACCCGGCACTGAGCTTCCTTCTCCTCTTCCCTCCTCTCCTCTCCACCCTCCCCAGCAGAGCTGTGCAGCCATGGCAGGGCACACTGCCAGAGACCAGAGGGTGCAGGGACCACCGAGAGCAGGGCTGCAGCCGAGCTGCCACAGCAAAGCCTTGCGAGAGGGCTGCCCTTCAGCAGGACTGAAACTCCTCTGTCCTGCAGTGGCCTTGCCCTGCCCCACCAAAGCTCATCCCCCACTGAGTGTGTGTTTCACAGCCACCAAGGAAAGACCCCCCGTGTCAGAGACAGTGCTTTGCATAGAGGTCTTTACTGATCAGATGGAAGCATTGCTGCTAACAGCCTGGCTGGCCGGCACTGCTGCTGCTTGTGATCCTGGAGGAGGCTTTTGCTGGACTTCAATCCTGGGAGCCTCTGTGCCTCAGAGGCTTTCCTGGATCCCGCCGTTGTGCACTGGATCTGCTCCCCAGAGCTGAGGAATTGAATACAAAGCTCTGGAGGCCTGCGTGCACAGAGAGGTGCAGAGCAACACGACAGCTCTAGTCAGGACACGTGGTGAGATCCGCTTCTGGCTGGAGAGATCAGATCCATGGTGCCTGGGATGCGATCCCAGCCTGCAGCGCTCCACACCATGAGAGCTGTCCGGAGAAGCCCCTCTTGGCCGAGGAGTTGCAGGAAGTCAAAGGAAGAAAGGGCAGTGCTGAGCAAGGGGCATGCTTGGTCATCCTTACATGAGGGATTCCTCCTCACCACTGATACCGGGAAATAAAGGGTTAACATTGTGCCTGCTTGCTTAAACGGTCGCTGTGCTTGGTAAAGCAGAACCATAGAAGTCAAATTTGTTAGAATGATGAAGCAGAATTGTAGAAGTTACAGCTGCTAGGCAGAATTGTAGTAGATAAGATTCATAGCTTAATATTTAAGACATTCTTGTTCAAATAGTATCTTTAGAAAGAAAAGGGACAAAAGATAGCCAGAGTAACAAAATTTACAAACTTGACAAGTTTCTGCTTTAAGATACACAAAACCGGCTTGTACCGAACCTGAGGTTTGGACAGGAGCCGAAACGCTATTGAGTCCGCGCAAAAGCAAGAGGTTACTCGCGGTGATGAAGAGGAACTACAGGCCTTCATCCTCACGACCCCCTAACGACCACCACCAGGAGGCACTGCGCAGGCGCACCAATGGGACAAATGCCAGAAAACTGATCATAATACTAGACGGGAATAGGTTTTGCATATGGATTAGGTGTGAAGCAATCTCATGTTTATATGCAATATAAACGAACTGAGTGACAAAGAGGGGCGCGCATGCTTTTGGAGGAGAAACCCCCATGCGCCTCAGCGCTGAATAAAGCATACCTACCTTACAACTCTAACGAGTTGTGGAGTCAATCCGCGTATCACCAGCACAGAAACGCTGTTCCGCTACTTTCCTGAGGAGGCGGGTCACTGCTTTTCGCAAAGCCCACTGGGTCCCTGGGGAAAGTCTCCTACCACAACGAGGAGGAAGTCTCACATCTTGACCGAGACCCTCCTGCCTCTCCCCTCTCCCAGTCATACCCACCCTATGGTCCCACTCAACCCCACACTGCTGACTGTGCTTGGGGCTGCAGAGAGGCACCAGGCATCGGGGATTGAGCCCGTGAGAAAAGAAAGGATCCTATCCTTGTCCAGACCCATCGCTCTGGGGTTTACTTCCCCCCCTCCTGGCTGGGCCATCAGCCCCCAGCTGGCCCAGGTCTGTCCTGAAGCTGGTCCACACTCACCTTTGCACATATGAGTACTGCGAAGGGCAAAGACTCAGACTGTGCTCTGGGCTCTCCTCATCCTCTCCTGGTGTCTTGCCAGCACGTGGGAATGCCACGAATGCAGAACCCTGAACAGAGAGAGGTGAGCAGCGGCGCTGTCGCTGGGCAATGGGAAGGTGCCTCGAGCTGGTGCAGTCCCCAGAGGACAGTCAGCCCCCACGCTCCTATGCCTTAGGGACCTTGGCTCCCTGGAGGACAGGAATGCTCTTTTCCTAATTGTTTTTCCCTGCGGCAGTACCTGGACCTCCCATTGCTCTTGCTTTGCATTCCAAGCTTTCCGGGGTGCCACTTTCGCCCTCGTCTTCTGCTGGTACTTCTTGCGCAACGAGTCCCAGAGCTTGCGTTTTTCCTCCTCCTCCTCCTCCACGCTCCCGGAGACCGGCACCTGCAGGGCCATGGCAATGCAGCAGTGGGCACTGTCAGTCTCCCCTGCAGAGGGCTGGGGGAATTTTAGCTCTCCCCCTTCTTTCCAGCCTCTCCACCAGCCCTGGTTTGCTTGCAGTCACAAAAGCACAGAATCATCAGTGTAGGAAGGGATCTCTGGAGATCATCCGGTCCAACACCCCTGCCAAGGCAGGGCCCCCCAGAGCAGGTCATACAGGAACAGATCCAGGTGGGGTTTGAATGTCTCGAGATAGGGAGACTCCAGCCCCTCCTGGGGAGCCTGTTCCAGGGCTCTGCCACCCTCAAATGAAAGAAGTTCTTCCTCACGTTGAGGTGAAACTTGTTGTGTTTTAGTTTATGGCCATCACTCCTCGTCCCGTTGCTGGGCACCACTGAAAAGAGCCTGGCGCCATCCTCCTGGCACCCACCTTTGAGCCATTGATATGAATTAACGAGGTCCACCCTCAGCCTTCTTTTCCCCAGACTAAACAGGCTCAGCTCCCGCAATCTCTTCCCATAAGAGATGCTCCAGACCTATAGCGATCTCTGGGGCCCTGTGATGGACACTGTCCAGTAGCTCCTTGACTTTCTTGTACTGTGGAGCTCAGAACTGGACACAGCGCTCCCAGTGTGGCCACACCAAGGTCGAGTAAAGGGAGGAGGATCTCCTCCCTCGATCTGCTGGCCACACTGCTCCCAGTACACCCCAGGATGCTATTGGCCCTTCTGGCTGCAAGGGCACACTGTGGCTCACGTCAGCCTGTCATCCACCAATACTCCCAGGTCCTTCTCAGCAGCAGCACTGCTGTCTAATAGGCCTAGTCCACACAGGCCTGAGTGCAGAGTCTTTCTGCAACGATCCCCGAGCCAAGTGACCACGGGGCTGAAAGCAACGTAGCTGCTTCCTATCCTGGCCAAGCCTGGCAGGGCCACCGCCGTTAAGACACCTCCAGATCAAGTCTTTGGGTGTTTCTGGAGGTGGCAAGAGTGAAGGCTGTCTTCTGAATGGACAGAACAACCTGAAAACTTCTGAGGACGAGGGCTTCAGCTTTCAGCTAAGCACAGGGTGAGTGCCCTTGTTAGACACCAGATGCATGGCACGGTGCTCTTGTACAGGTGGATACGCCAGAGACCCTGCACAAGCCCATGGCACGTACCGGTCCTGCCGTCCTCTTCCCTGGCCAAGCAGGGGGTGCAGGTCGGGGTCCATCTTCCCCCAGCTGGCTGCTGCCTACCTCTCTCCCCGAACGCTGCCACTGCAGCACCGCCAGCTCGCTGCGGACGGGAGGGCAGGAGGAGGTGTGAGCACACGGAGCCGCGCTCCAGCCGGGGCTCCCAGGCTGGCGCCTGCCACAGCTGCAGAAGGCGGCTCTGCCAAGAGGCCCAGAGCAGTGCCCCTGTCCCCGGCTGCTGCGGGCACGGGGAGGACGGGCACTGCAGGAGAGGAAGCACTGCCCGTGCCTGGAGAGATTTACCACTTGAGCTTGTCCTGCACATCTGCCTGCTCATCCCTCTGCCTCCTGCGCTTGCGGGCGACATGCCTCAGAATGCACGTCACCACCTCCCGCAGGGCCCGCTCTGTCCGTGGGGAAAGGCTTCTGCAACAGCAAGGACAAAGTCTCTCATTCCCGTGGCTGGAGAAATTCCCAGGCCCTCCATGTGGCCCCACGCCCCAGCGGTTGGCTTCCTTGACCAACCGCCTATGGCATACAACCACCCCACTGCCCCAGGCCTCGGCTGGGCCTGGTACACTACCGCTTAGGGGGAACAGGGTCTTCCTCAGGGACTGTGGGTGGCTCTTCCCCGGCATCTTCCCAATCCTTCGTCATCATGCCCATGAAGGTGGTGCTCAACTCCTCCATCTCCCAGCCAGTCAGAGAGAAGATTGATGATCGCTCAGAGGTGCTGAATTCCTCCACAGGAAAAACTCTCATACAACAGCCCCACACCCCCAGGGTATCACTTCCCAGCATGCAGACCCCCAGATCACTTCAGGTCACTAGTGGGACAGGAAACACCAGGAGAACAACCTCAGCACACCCTTGGGGTGATGCCTGAGGGTCACCAGGGTCTCACTACTACTGTCACCCCTCTGGCTCAAGAAAGGCAGCAGTCACCCGCTCAGCTTCACTGCAGCATCGCTACTGTGCTGGCTTGGGTGCAAGAGGTACAGCGCAATCTCAGTCTTCCTGAAGGGGAACGTGCTCTTTTTCTGCAGGAATTCAAAGTACCTGGCTTTTCAGTGTCTCCTCTTCTCTCCCAGGCTTCGCTTTAGTTGCTGGCACGGTTTGATGTTCTCTTGTTTTCTCTTCCATCTGCTCTTCTTTCTTCTTTTCCTCCTCAGCCAAGTATTTCTGGATGTGTTTTGGAAGCTTCTGACTCCCCTTTAACTGTTTATCCTGGAGGGTGACCAAAATGCAACAGCGGGCAGCATTAGTCTGCCCTCTAGAGAGCTGAGCTGGTTTCATTCCTACCCACTCTGCCCCTTCTCTTCTGCCTTTCTGTCCGCACTGGTGTTCTCCCAGGTTCCTGCAGGCTCCACCTAAGACCCTGTCTGTAATGCCCAAGGCGCTAAGTGACCACCAGGCTAGAAACCACCTGGCAGCTGGCTATCCCAGCCAAGCCTTGCAACACTGCCAACAGAAACATCCACAAGGAAGGTCTTTGGGATGCTTCGTGAGGCTAATGGAAGTGAAAAAATGAAAAGGATATTCTCAAATGACACGGCAACCCTCCTCTCTTCATGCAAGCCTCAAAGCAACTAGTCGGTTGCTAACACACTGTGAGGCATCTTGTAAGAGTTGATATGCACGGAGCGATGCTTCTCTACAGTCCAGTACGGCACAGCCACTGCAGCAGCCCATGTCACGTACCTTTTCTCTCGTCTCAATCGCTCTGGCAATGAAGTCCACTGTTCTGATTGCGCCCCCAGGAAACACTTTCTCTTTCTCCTCCTCTTCCTTCAAGATGGTTCCCTGGGTGGGCATCAGCTGCCTGCAAAGATACAACAGGGTGTATTGGCAGGAGTGCAGGAGGAGCTGGTTCTGGCATCTTGTGCTTCTGCAGCAGAATGCGCTCTACTTGCCTTCTTGGGATCGAGTCCTCAGGGACAGAGAAGACCCCAAGCTCTCAGGCTCCAATGTGCCCAACAGCCCCACTAAATCTCAGGATGCCCAGGTCTAAGCCTTTTCTTGCCAGAGCAATGAGAGGGACAGGGTCCTATACCCAGAGATACCCCCAGGTCAGTGCGCTGGAGTCTGCTCAGTGCTCTGAACTACAGAGTGCTCACGGGCTGTGGGAGCATGTTGGGCACTGAAGACACAGTCTCAAAAGACAGAGGACAAGACCCCATGAGAAAAGCCATCCTGCCATTGAGCTCTCTTTGGACCTTCTCTTTTGCCAGCCATAAGGCAGGCACTAGCATAGAAGAGGCTTCTGGCTAATCAGAGGAATCCTCTGCAGTAACTCACTGCAGAGCACTGTTGTCAGCAAAAAGAAAAGTCAGGGTCATTCCACTCTGAAGGGAAAGACAGAAAGACCTTCTGCTCCTGGAATGGGCATTTGCAGCCAGGTACTGGGCACATCTGCACATCAGAAGCAAAGAAAGAAATCATGCTGCCAGCAGCGCCCCAAGAAGCTACAAGGCACTTGCCATAGACCAAGCAAACATTAGTTAGTGGGACGTGGCATAAACCCCACTCTGAGTTTCTCTAGCCTCTGTGTCCAGGAGAAGCACCTCACTCCCAGCACAGGGTCCCTCTCAGCCATGGATGCGAGTGTCTCACCTGGCAGGGGGCTCACTCCCCTCAGCTTTCTGAGCCTGCTCTGACTTTGCAGTTATTGCAGACAACCGATTTGGAGCCAGCTTTGCTCGATGAAGGAGGCTCTTCTCGGGAAGATCCTCTAGAAAACAGGAAAGGAGGCAGTTATCTTGGTGCTGTTCTGGGAACAGCGTGCCTGTTTTGTCCCAGTTCCAACGTGGGTGACATGCAGGTTTACCAAGCATCTGCTAACACTGATGAAGGTGGTCCTTTCCATCCCGTTGGATGAAAGTCCTGTTTCCTAGGAGGTCTTAGGCCTCTTCCAACATTGTCTTTCCATCCAGCTCCTCCTGCCTACAGTGCACTAGTATTCCCTGGGGAAACCCTATTTTGATGGCTTTCTCTCATCCATGTGCAGGGGTGGGGGGGTTTCTCTGGGAGATGCTGGTGGTCTCCAAGAGTCATTCTGGAGAGGGGAATCATTTAGCACAAGAGCTGCCAGCTCTTGGATGTCTGGATTGGCCCCATGCACACAGGCTTGCTGCTGGTGCAGGTTCACACAAAAGGCATTACTTCCAAGACATCTGAGAATACGATGGAAAGAAGCAGGATAAGAACTTTACACTGTTTGCAGCACAGGCTGGGGAGCGGAAGCCACTGGGAAGATGTCCCTCAGCAGCCCCAGTGGCTGTGGGGCAGGGCTGTCTTCAGCCCTTGTTCCACAATGGGTCACTGGAGCTTTCCCATAATGGGTGCAGAGAGTCAAAGGCGGTGCCTCTCCCTCTTCCAGGCACCCTGGGGTAACCTCAGCTCTAATCGCCTCCAGAGGCGGACGAAGGAAAACCTACAGCCCCCTGCTAGCAACCCTCTGGTCTCTCACCTTTTTTTCCACTACTAAAACCTTTTCCCCTGCCTTCTGGGGTGGCATTCACATGCCCTCTCAGGTCAGCTTTCACTCCTGGCATTTTAGCCACGCTCCCAAGCTTGTACCTGGACAAAGGAAGAAGGCACCAGGCTGAACAAAAGTCGCTGCATTGTTTCCCCGGGCAGCCCATCCCAGAGGACCACAGTCGGAACTGCAGTGCCTGGAGGGGCAGGCAAGGGCCCGCCTCCCTGGGCCAGTGTTTTTCCATCTTTTCTGTGAGAACAGGCATCCTCCCACATAACCCCCTTGCTGCTTCTGGGGAAACTGATTCCTCTCTTCCTCAGAGTGCAGAGTGCACATAGAGAGCACTCTAATCCCTAGTGCTCTGATTATCCAACACCCTTCTGACTTCTGATCTTGTCCTCCAAAGTTGCTTGTAGAGCCTCGCAGATTAATGCCTTTATAAGCAGTAAGGAGTCACCTCCTTCCCCTCAGCTGTCGATGGCACTGCACAGTAATGGGGGCACAAGACAGAGCTCTGCAGAACTCCACCAGATGCAAGCTCCTCTCTGGACCAGAAATCACCCCTCTATCCCTTGCCCCCAAGCAGAAGGCAGTCTCATGCACAGGAAGGCAAAAGAGCCGGAGAAACCTGATGGAAAATAGTGCCTAAATGCCTCTCTAGGTCCATAGTAGGACAGATGCATAAAGCCTTGTCACTGTCCCCCATTCCTCCAAAGAAAGTCAAACCGAACAAGAGCAAGCAGGGAAGTCCCTGCCAATGCTCTGAAACATTCCGTCCTCAATACCATCACGAGTGCAGTTCTCGGCTCCTGGCAAGGCAGTCCTCCCAGCAGGAGCTGAGAAGCTGCTCACTGCCTCAGCCAAGGGCTGCAGCTGCAAACCTACCCTGGTAGAACAATAACATGTCCCAGAGAGGTCTGGGAGGCGGCAGTGTCACGGGACGAGATGACCGAGTCCCTCATCTCTGGCATCTGCAATGAGGACGGAGACAGACGATGGGACATGGGGACACCGGGAAAGGCTGGCTGCTCAGTCCACCTTATACCAACACAAGCCAAAAGCCAGAGCAGCCAAAGGGCTCTGGCCTCAGCAAGCCTTGCTCTGCCTGTTCCTCTGCTCTCTGGCCTGAGAGTGGCTCAAGCAGTGCTCCCCACCACCAACGCCAGCTTTTTGTCACCACGTGAGGCCCCTCTGGGGGTTACCTCTCGCAGAGCCAGACCAGCGCCGGCAAGGGAAATGCTCTGCAGAGAGCCTGCTGTTCTGTGGGCCATGAGGAGCCCAAGTGGCTGTAGAGGGCACGGCAGGCCAGGAGGAAGCAGCCCGCCAGCCCCAGAACACGTTTCAGAAGAAGCAGGAGTGGGGCTGTGAAAATGACCGTCCTACCTCCAGAAGAGCTTGCAACATCTTGTCAGTCCCGTTCAGCCGCTGCAGAAAGTCCGTGTAAAATTTTGTGCGCACGTCTTTGCCCTGGATGATCACCACGGCCACGGCCCTCCAAACGAGGGCAACGTCCTGCCTGTTCTCCAGGCAGGCTTGGAAAAGACGGATGGTCCTTTCAATGCAAAACCGCACTGCGCTTTCAGAGACAGCGTTGTCTGAGGCTATCCGAGCGCACGGCAGTTGCTGAAAACGTCGATGACCTGAAAAGCAAGAGAAGGGGAACCCACAAACTTGGAGAGCGGCTGAGCAGGTTACAGCCAAAGGTCTGCAGCTTCCAGGCCGTCAGGCAATACATTGCTACTGAGTTGTCCAGCTGGTGCAGCGCCTCTCAGGAGAAGCTTGGGCTGTCCCTCGCTGTTAGAAGTGGGAAGCGAGGTGCGCAGTGGACAGCTATGGCTGTCTGATACCGAAAGGCAAAGAGTCTTTGGTGCTTGGTAGGAAGGAGCACCACGGCTGCAGGACAAGGAGGGGAGAAAGGCCCCAGGTGCTGCAGCAAGCTGAGGCGGCCAGGCCATCAGAGCCCTGCCCAGACTCTGTGCTCTCTTTGTCGTTAGAGAGAAACCCAGCCCAAACACAGATCCAAGCTCTTGGTGCTCCCAGGGTCCTGCTGCAACGGCTGCAGCAACCAGATAGCAACAGGCGTTGTGGTCACTGGGATTTGGAATGAATCATCTTTCCCCCCCGGCTTTAGGGCCGCGAGGAAGAACCCTGGCATTTGCCTGTTTGAGGCCTAGTAAAGCAGAAAGGGGGAGCAAGGGTTGAAACACCGCGTAGGGAGAAGACACGGCACCAACAGAACGGGAAGGAAACCACTGGAGGAAGCAGGCCAAAGAGCACGTGCTGTTATGCTGTACTGTCTTCTGGTGACTATTTAAACCATATCAGTAGGCAGGCTCCTTTCCTTAGCAGGCTGGTTTTGTCGAGCTGGAGCTGTTTTCAGACTGCAGCAGGAGGCTGGCGCTCTGCTCTGGACAGCAGAGCGCACCTCCCCACTCTGCTCAAGGACGAGCACTGCTCACAGCCTGTCTGCTTACCAGGAACGTCGGTGTGACTGTATCGGAGGCCATGGTCCTGCATAATAGTGTTTGCAAGATGAAACACAGGTCTCGCCACTACCACCAGGTCTTTCTTGCTAGCTACTTGCTGACTGACAACCGCAAAAGTCCCAAGTCCAGGAATGTGGACGTCCTGAAACAGAGGAGATGGTGGATCAGAAGAAGACTTCGAGGGACAGGGCGAAGACTCTTCAGGGAATGGTGATGGTACTTAGTGTCCTGCCCAGGCCTGAGGTACAAAGGAGCAAGAGTGGCTCTTTGGAAACCCTGGGAGAAGACAAACAGGGCCTGTGCTTTTCCCTCTCACTCCCCTTCATCCATGAAGAAACTGAGAGGAAGCTTTCAGCTGACAAGCTGAAAACCATCCTTTGGTTGTCCCACACTTGGAATAAAGCCTAACGTGCCTCGGTCCTCCAAGTTTTGTCATGCACCTCTGACTGTGGAGACTCCAGAAGCCCCAGAAAAAGCCCAACCCCTGACACTACTCCTGGACCTTATTGTAGACCCGAATGGACACAGGAGGTAGTCCGTGCACATCTGTGCCTTGCAGCGTCGAGCTGGGGCATTCCTGCTTTCAAAGGAGGGGGAGAACAATCGTCCTCCGTAGCAAAGGACTGCATCAACCTTCATCAGGATGTGAGGGCAGGAGGAGGAGGAGGCCAGTCCCACCTGGTGCAGAGCCAGCTGTTGGCTGAGGTAACACGATGCACTGTCCCAAATCTTAGCGAACTCTGGGAAAACAAGGGGAAGACATGTCATCCTGGGGGGGCAGCGCCGCAGAGCCCTTCAGCCCACCCCTGTCCGAGGACCCACGTGTTTCTAACACACATTTTTCAGGTGGTCTCACTAAAGCCCTTCAGGAGCCAAAGGACACCTCAGCCTGACGCAGTCCCCCAGGAAACCGGCAGTTGATGGCCCCACCAGAGCGGGCACGGTGCTCTGCTCCACGGAAGTCTCAGAGGCTCAGGCTGAGCCCTGGTGTCTCCCCAGCAGGGCCAGATTCCCTGTGTTGCATCTCTGAATGCACACACGCTGCATGGCCCACGAGCACCTTCAGCTCTTCCGCTCAGACATGAACTCAGGGCGGGCAATGACCACCAGCAGGCAAGGAGCAGCCCTTTGGGGCCAGGGGCTTCTGCCTGGGGTGCGCCAGGAGGCAGGTGCTATGTCAGGAAGAGAACCAGGGGCCATGGCCGCCAAATCAGCCCCTCAGCCCTTAGGGATGATCAAGCAGGTCCCTCCTTGCAGTCACCAGTCCTGAGCAGCCACCCCACAGCCCTCAGGGTTGCCATGCCTCTTTTCAGAGATGGCCTTGACCCGACACACTCACGGAATTGGCACTGGAGGCCTTACCAGAACTCCTGAGCTTCTCAGTTGTTAGAGACAAGTGAGGCGGCAAGAGGAGCTCTTTTGCCATGGTAGTTGCACCCTTGTTCCAGGTCAACAGCTGCAGCAATAGGCTGGCCAGCAGCTTGCTTTCTTCCTGCAAAAAGCCTCCTCCTCTCTGTTCTTCTCCTCCTTTTCCTTCTCTTCCTCCTCTTATGCCTTTCACCGATCCCACTGCTGTGCTGCTCCCTCTTTTTGTCTTCTGCTCACTGCAGAGCAGCTCCTCTGGGGCAGAGCGTTGCAAGCGCAGCCCTCAGCAGGAGTCCCGTGGCCTCACCGGGCTTTGTGTGGCAGATGCATGTCACAATGCAGGTAAGGGGCTGGTCAGCTCTGCGGTGTGGGGCAGCCTGTTTCACAGAGGGACGTCACAATGCAGGTAAGGGGCTGGTCACCTCTGCGGTGTGGGGCTGTCCACTGTAACCCCAGCCTGTTTCACAGAGGGGCTGCACGCAGACCCTGCCAGGGGAGGCTCTGCAGTGCACAGGGTCTGCAGGGAGCTGCCCCCCCTCACTGCCTCCTGACCAGGAGGGCACTTCTCCAGGCTGGGGCTCACCCCTGCCATGTGCCCACATAGGATGCCCCATCCCTGGCAGTGCTCAAGGCCAGGTTGGATGGGGCTTGGAGCAATCTGCTCTAGCGGAAGGTGTGGAACTGTGGCACGGGTGGGAACTGGATGAGCTTTAAGGTCCCTTCCAACCCAAAATGTTCTGTGATTCCATGAAACGCCACTGGAAGTTCTTATGCACTCCCTTCCGCCCTTCCCTGCTTCTTCCTGCCTCTCTTACCTAAGGTGTCTGCAGTGGGAGTGGCGGACTCCTCTTGACTGGCAGACCTTTGGCAGGCCATGGCTGCTCACAGCTGCTTTGGAACTGGCTGGAACTGTCTCCGACTGACTCAAGCCGAGCCTGACCTGCTCTCACGCGGGTCCCAACATACTCCTTTCCAAGTACAGCAAGTGAAGGTCACTCCTTGACCGTCTGGGGATCCCGCCAGCACTGCAGCTCTGCGCCTCCTTAGACACCTATAGGCTCTTTCAATCCCACCAGATCCCAACTCCAAAATTGAAAACGGCCAGCGGCTGCTCCCACACGGATGGTGCTGGGACAGAAATGGGACGCTGGCTCTCTCCTTCCCTTGGAAGTCCTCTCACAGCCCCACTGACACCGGGGCTCTGCGCTTTCTTCCATGCTTTAAGCCCATGACGTTCTAAGGTATGGGATAGCTCTTTGGCTACTTCAGGTCAGCTGTCCTGGCTATATTCCCTGCCATCTTTTTGTGCACCTCATCATTGGAAGAGCTTTGGAAACTGCAACAGCCTTGATTTACAACAAGCGCTCTTTAAAACCATCTGCAACATCAGTGTGTTTATCAACATAATTCTCATCACAAATCCAGAAAACAGAAGTGTACCCTCTACTAAGAAGAAAGTTAACTCTCTTCAGCCAAACCCAGGACAGCCCAGCAACAGCTTTCAGTCCCGGCACCTTCTATGTGGGAGCAGCCACTGGATATTTTGCATGTGGGAGCTGGGCTCTGGGAAGAGTGAACAAGCTCAAAGGACCATAAATTAGCTGAGCAAGCACAGATTCCCAGTGTTGCTGGGGCTGTTCCAGCACTTGCCAAGGGAAGGTGAGGTCCAGCAACAGCTTTGTGTCCTGGCACCTTGTGTGTGGGAGCAGATGGAGCCTGTATTTGGTGCGCTAGCTCCTGCGTACTTGGAGCTAAGTCCCATGAGGACCTCAGTTGACTGCTTTGGCCAACCCACCGGTTTTAGACATGTCAGAGTGTGCACCGGGGAGCGGAGAAACGATGTTTGACATCCTTGAGGGCTACTAAAAGGGCTCAGTGCTTTTTGAGTTAAGCTTTTTGTAAATTCCCCTGACAATGTGGCTTCAAGTGCTGCAGTCTAAACTGAGAAATGCCAATCCAAGCACAGAAAGTCTGTAGTGTGTCATTGCTTGGCAGTGTTCTGGGGACCCAGCTCAATCATTACCAGTCAGAAAAGAACAGTTTAACATGACTAGGTCTGCTTTTCTGCAGCCTCCTCCACTGTAACCACTTTGCCAGTCCTGTTTCGCAGAGGGCATTTTGTCTTTGGCCTTCTTTTCAGGCTGACATTACCTGTAAAAGCCCTTATTATTCTTTCCATCCATTGCCAAGTTCAGCTTCACTGTGCCTTGGCCTTCCTGTCCTCGTTCCTACTCAACCAGAATGCGTTCCTGTACTCCTGTCCCTGCTTCCACTGCCAGTACATTTCCTTCTTGCCCTTTAGTTTGACCACCAGGTCATGACTCCCCTAACAGAGGGACACCAACTAATGAGGATTTGGGGGAACCAAATGAAGGGATTGGAGCTCCTTCTCCAGCCCACACACTCAAGGGTCCCCCTGTATCCCCACTACTCTTAAAAGGTCACCTAGGTGTCTGGGACCTGCCTAGCAACCCTGCTGTTCCGTGGGGACCTAGGCACCCAGGTTCCGCCTAGCAACCCTGCTGTTCCGTGGGGACCTAGGCACCCAGGTTCCGCCTAGCAACCCTGCTGTTCCGTGGGGACCTAGGCACCCAGGTTCCGCCTAGCAGCCCTGCTGTTCCGTGGGGACCCAGGCATCTGGGTGCTGTGCTTTGGGGCCATGGGGTGGTGGTGGGTGCCCCTGATGCTGGTGATGGCCCGCTGGCTCCCTGGAAAGCCAGGCACCCAGCCAAGGGGACCTGGCTTGTGGCAGTGGGTGTCCCTGGTGTTCTGGCTCCCTGGGGTGCACCCCTGTCTGCTCTGCTTCTCGCACCCCATTCAGCTGGCACGCCTCTGCCGTGACATTACTGGGGCCCCTCGGAACGACCCCCGACACCGCCGCTGCCTTGAGGCTCTTGCGCGGGCTGCTGTGCCGCTCGCCTCTGTCTCTGTGGGTGAGTGACAAGACCCCAAGGACACCCCCACCCCCCGACTGCCACCTCCGTCCTGCCAGGGACCCCCAGCCCCGGACAGGAGCCCAGAGCCCTACCTCAACCAAGGCATTCACACTGACACTGGCCAGGACCCAGGGCAGCTGGGGACCTCTTTCCTAAACAGGAACCCTAGGGACCCTCCCCACACGAGCACCCTCGGAACTCCCAGCCATGCCAATGTCTCCCCAGTCCTGACCTGGACCCCAGGGACCTCCGGGAACCCCAACCCTGCCTGAGACCCTGAGAATCAGGAACACAGTGAGGACTCCGGGCCCTACCTGGGACCTCAAGGACCCTGAGGGATATCTGACCCTTTCCACTATCCCGAAACCCTCATCAGGACTCCAGAAGTCCCAGAAACGCCCAGCCCTTACTGGACCCTCCCATCCCTGAACCTGCAACCCCAATCATGTACTGGTGCCAGTGTCCCTGTACTGGTCCCAATACCCCTGTACTGCTCCCAGGGTCGGAGCAGCACGAGGCACTTCAGGAGATCGTATTGGAGGCCCTGAATTTTCTGGAGAGGGAGAAGGACAAGAGTGAGCTTGGGACATGGGACATGTGAGGGGGTAGGGCTGGGGCATGGGGGATGGAACGTGGAGGCCTTGAATGGGGGGTGTGGTGAAATATGGTCTATATGCAGGTCTGTGGGCTGTAAGGGGATATCTGGGGAATCCTGAGAGTGTATGGGCTTCAAGGTGTACAGCTTCTGTGGGCTTCTGAGGGGAGTACTCCAGGATGGATGTACAGGGTTGAGGTGAGCTGTACAGGAGATCTGCCGACGTCTGGAGAAGGTTTATGGGCATCCAAAGTGGTGGTGGGGAATTGTCTCACCTGGGACAATTATCTGTTATCTGGGACATCCCAGAGTCTTTTGAGGTGTCTCTGCAGGAAGCCGTCAACACAATCTGGGTGAAGCTGAGCCAGCTGGAGGAAGGTATGGGGCCAGTGGGGACACACACCTGGGAATCCCACCCTGGGGAGCCCGGGAAAGGGGCTGTCACAAGGACACCCATCCTGGACATCTACATTCCTGGGTCCCCACACTGGTGGAGAAGCCCGAGGGACCCCATCAGGGCTGGACAACGGCTGAGCCCTGACAGCTCCTCACAGGGATGTGGATCCCCAGTGATCCCCAGTCTAATGCTGCTTCCCCCCCACTAGCTCGAGCCTGCATCCCGCCCTGTGGTGAGTGCGCGTCCCTCTCTCTTGCCACCCCCTGTTCCCAAGTCCATCTCCCATCCCTCTGCGACCACCGAGTGTCTCCATCCCAGGATATCAGCCTGATTCCCGCGTCTTCCAGTGTGCTACCTGCCGCATCATGGACTGCAAGCTCCCCGTGGACTGCCCAGGTATGGGGCAAAGGACCCAGGCACCCAGGCAGAGCCCCCGCACGCATCTGGGTGTGGATGTGCCTGCTTGGGCCCATGAGTGCCCAGGAGCATGCCAAGGTGCTTGCCTGCCTAGCCCTGCTGCGAGCACTCAAGCATGTGCAGTTGCAGACGAGCACATTCTCTATGTGCACGAGCAGATGTGCCTCACATGCCTGTCAATGCTTCCAGTGCAGGACATGCAGGTCCACACAGATGAAGCCGTCACACTGCTCTGTGATGTACCCTTTGCCATCCCCCCCAACCTGCCCGTTACCTGGATGTTTGCCAAGGATGTGAGTTGCCC